GGCGGCTGGCTGGTGGTCCTTGCAGTCGCAGTGGCACAGCGTCTCCACGGTGACGTACAGCTCCTCGTTGATGCCCTGCGGCTTGATGACAAACGTCTGCGGCTGGTCCAGGCAGGCAGTGCTGTTGACGGTCACCGTGAAATTGATCTGAGAGAGAGGGAGGGAAACTGCACTTCAACGCCACGTCCGTTTAAAAAGCCGGCAGAAGCAGACCCTCCGTCTGTTCACCTCTTCGAGGACTGATTAAGGCAGGAGGGCAAGCTGTGAACTAAACAGACTAACATTAGGGAGATCGGTGACTCCAGGGCTAGGACTAGGCAGGACTTCAGTCAGGAAGTACGTCTTCACACACAGGATATTAGGGGTCTCAAACAAACTGCCCAGCCACGTCATACAAACCGCTGAGGATCCCTCAGATTCAACGAACACTCCCTCCCTCCCAGCTTTTCCCCTGTTCGAGCTCCTTCCCTCAGGCGGGAGGCTAAAATGTATCAAATCCTGAACAGAGCAGCTCCTGAAGAGCACCTTGACTGAGGCTATTCTGTGTTTTAACTCAACACTAATATAAAAGTATGTATCGGTCATTTTGCACACAGACTTCATGATATTGCAGGCAGGTAGGGTAGTACTCTGCACTAGAATGAGTGGATTTCCATCTTCACTGGAATGTAGCACTGGAATTGTATTTTGTCCATGATATGTGTATGTTACTCATGCTTTTTTTTCTCTCTGTTTTTTAGTGTGCGCCACGAAAAACTCCTGACAACTCAAATGGCAATAAAGTTGACTTTTACTTTTTTTAATGAGCTGATCGTGAATATTAGTATGATTGGCTAAGCCTGTAGGCTTGTATGAATAAAAGCATTAACATGGGAGTTTGTGATTTCATACTGAAACAGGATTGTACACACATTTGTACTCATGTCTTTGCAGGGACTTTCCATCGACCCCCATTTTGATTTACTGTTCCCAACTCCACCAATGGTGAAAACCAACCTAAAGCATAGAGACTGGGTACTTTCAGATAACAAGACTAATTGGTTTAAAGAGACGTCCCCACGGTGTCAAAAAGGAGGGGCATGTTCTCAAAGTTTGCATATTTGTATCATTTTGTTACACTTTGTCCGTGATTCCACTCTTTTCAAGCTTCTGTTGAATTACAATCCTTCTGCTGAATTACAAACTGAGTTGACATTCAAACTAAATTACTGACTAAATATAATCATATTTGTTAATAACAATTCAGTTTTGTAATTCAACTCTAACTCAGTTGGTAATTTTTAAAAACATTACAAGGTGGGGACAACGTGATGATGCTAATAAGGATCCTTCCTAATTTACTTCCCTGACTAACCCATTCTGCCCCTCCTCCCCTGTCCCCACCCCTCAATCTCAGCTCTGCTCCTCCCTTTCCCTGTCTCCACCCCCTGTCCCAGCTCTGCTCCGCCATTTCCCTGTCCCTGCCCCAACATCCAGCTCTGCTCCACCCTTTCCCTGTCTCCACCCCCTGTCCCAGCTCTGCCCCTCCTTCCCTGTCCCCAACAACCATCCCAGTTCTGCTCCTCCCTGCCCTGTCTCCAACCCTCCCTTTCCCAGCTTTGCCCTTCCCTTCCCTGTCCCAAGTCTGCTCTACGCTACCATCCTGCACCCCACTGAACCCAACCTTGCTGTTCTGCCCTGCCCATCCCCATATTCCTTATCCTCCTCTTCCCAGCTCTACACTCCCTGTTGCACTGTGTGCCTCCCCGCCCGCAGCGCCCCCTACCGCCTGATTGATCTTGATGTTGGTGCACTCAGCTCTCCTCTGCCCACGGGCGGTGGAGCCGTCCCCGCAGTGCGAGTCGTAGGTGATGTCCAGGCCCTGGGGCAGCTGCTGGTGCTCCAGGTAGATAGTGGAGGAGAGGTTCTGTGGGGGGACAGGGGTACCGCTCTTGTGAAACAAGGCCCGAGCTCAAGAGTGGAGAGTAAGAGTGAGGGCAATTAGGACTGAGCTCAGGAAGCACTTTTTCCAGCACAAAAGGGAACAAGCTGCCCAGTCATGCTCTTAAATCAGATTCCCAGAAAACTTTAAGAAATGGGTGGATGAGATCTTCAGTTCTTCAGAGTTCTACCACCTTCTCAGAAGAGCTTACTATTACAGATTCAGTGGACTTTCTTACATGAAAAGCTCCCTAACAGGGAGTTAGGGAGCACAGTATGAAGAGGCTTAGGGCTTCCCCAAAACCAATACTAAGCCCTTAGTTACCTCATGCTGTGCATCTAGAAGTTTTAGATTATCCTCAGTTATCTACCTCGTAAAGGTTAAGGTCAGGACGTTCTAGTAGCTGGAGATATAAACACAGGCTATATCGTTACAGTGTTAAAGATAACCAAGCAATATCACCATGCATTCCTTTTTAATAACTCTAAAGGCTCATTAGCTCTAATAACTGCATTCATCTTTTTAGCTCAACCAGCTGCGTAAAGACTGGTCTTCGCACAACTAATTTTGAAGAAAACAAAATGATCATTTTGAAATTCATTAAGGTTGCTCCTTGCTCCCAGCTGTTGTGTGCAATCTCATATCCAGAGCCAGCCATGAGGGAGAGAGAGACACAAGACTTCATATGCTCATGGGCCAGTAACAAGGTAGGACCCTAGCTGTCTCCCTTACGGTGATCAACCCCAGGCAGACAAATGATAGTAACCAATCCAACCTCGTGTGTCTTTACATTGCGAGAACATGTAGACTTCGACAGAAGCCGGAGGCCAGGCTGGAACCCAAGCAGGCTGAGCCATACATAACAGCAATCAGTGTTATTAGCCCCCCATGAGCTCTCATGGGGATTAAATCCCAGTTACTGCAGGAGCCGCAATGGGAGCCCACTCACATTATAGGCATCGGATATCAGCTGGACAACGTTGCTGGAGTCATCTTTCAACTCTCCCACCACAGACTGAGGAATCAGCTTATGGAGGGCCTGGAAAACAACACACTCCAGTGTTACCCCCATCCATCCCTTCCACCTTGACTACTCCCCTTCGATCGTTACCCCTCGTCTCTTCCCCTTCCCCAGATTTGCTCTCTACTCAGATTGCACCTGAGTGGCTGTATGCTTTCTTAAAGGTCTACTGTGTACAGGTGGTTCTTAACCTTTTTGCCAGTGCAACTTCCTTTGGATGAGTGCATTTCCCCCCATTCAAGAAAAACATATTGCCATGTCAATTAAATATAAAATCATAGTGGGAAAAAAACTAGTCACTCAATGAGATGGTGGCGGTTGCAGAGAGGCAGAGAGGGCTAAAAGGTGGGATTTGTTGGGCTGAAGTAAAGATGCAAATCATCTTTGACCCTGAGACGGGCTCTGTACGATAGCTCTGAAAAGCCCGACTCACAAAGATATGGGAGACTTTTTTCAAGGCCGTTTACTCAGGCCTTGGTATTTGCCTTGCACTGAGATCCAAAAGTCAGCCAGTGGGCTCTCTGTGAACACCTGCTTCAGAGCCAAGTCTGTCAATCAATCATTCACTTATCTTGTGTCAGCTGTCTCCGAATATGGATTTCTGATCCATGCGTAGTTTCACTCTGTTTAATGACCGATGTATTTATACTATTCACATGACCCCTCTAAGACCATGATGCGACTCCCAGGTTAAGAACAGCTCATTTATACTTCTTTCACACAGCCTTTTATTTCAAATCATTTTGTGTTCACTATCTATTCCACTCTTCATGTTCTTCCTTAATCACATCACATCATTTACAATGATCATATACTCTTATTGCAGCCCTTTGTTACCTCTCATTTATTGCTGTTACAACTCCACCCCTTATTACTACAGCTCCCTTGTAATGATGTTACAAAGTGCAATTATACATAACTCTAATTACAAGTCCTTTACCCAGCCTGATCGTTTCCACAGACCCAGTCACCCACCTTGTAGATAGGAACGCTCTTGTCATTGACGGCGAAGATGAGCTGGATGTTGTTGGCTGCAAGGACCTGAGAGAGGTGACCCACAGAGGGGTAGTCCTGACAGACAGATAGACAGCGGTGAGAAGGAGAGAGAGAGACAGACAGCAGAGAGAAGGAGAGAGAGAGACAGACAGCAGAGAGAAGGAGAGAGACAGACAGACAGACAGCAGAAAGAAGGAGAGAGAGAGACAGTGATGTCAAGGACAGAGAGACAGACAGGCAGCAGTGTGAAGGAGAGAGAGACAGACAGACAGCAGGGAGAAGGAGAGAGACAGACAGTGATGTGAATGAGTGAGACAGACAGACAGCAGTGTGAAGCAGAGAGACAGACAGACAACAGTGTGAAGCAGAGAGAGAGACAGACAGCAGTGTGAAGGAAAGAGAGAGACAGACAGCAGTGTGAAGGAAAGAGAGACAGACAGCAGTGTGAAGGAAAGAGAGACAGACAGCAGTGTGAAGGAGAGAGAGAGACAGCAGTGTGAAGGACAGAGAGAGAGACAGACAGCAGTGTGAAGGACAGAGAGACAGACAGACAGACAGACAGACAGACAGACAGCAGGGAGAAGGGGAGAGAGACAGACAGACAGCAGGGAGAAGGAGAGAGAGAGACAGACAGTGATGTGAAGGAGAGAGACAGACAGCAGTTTGAAGCAGAGAGACAGACAGACAACAGTGTGAAGCAGAGAGAGACAGACAGCAGTGTGAAGGAGAGAGAGAGACAGATGGTGATGTGAAGGAGAGAGAGAGACAGCAGTGTGAAGCAGAGAGAGAGACAGACAGACAGCAGTGAGAAGGAGAGAGACAGATGGTGAAGTGAAGGAGAGAGAGACAGATAGCAGTGTGAAGGAGAGAGAGAGACAGTGATGTGAAGGAGAGAGAGAGACAGCAGTGTGAAGCAGAGAGAGAGAGAGAGAGAGAGATAGAGAGAGAGACAGTAAGACAGCAGTGTGAAGTTGAGAGAGAGACAGACAGACAACCCTGCACGCTCACATATTCTGTGCTCTTCTCGTACAACCCCTCGCTGTTCAGGTGGCAGAGGCCATCGTTAGGAAAATAGATCCCGGCCAGCTTCCCGTCTCCTGCTGTGTGGAAGGTGTCGTCGGAAGTGTAGACCAGGATTCGGGTAACATTCTTCCAGCCAATTTGTTCCTGTAAAAAATAACAGTTATGACATTATGTTGCAGAATTACAGCCCCTTGGGAAGTTCCTGCGTTTTGACCCGACAGCACATCAAAACCACCATGTAAACCTGGTGGCTGTTTCCCATGTGTGAAATAGTGCTGTACAAGTGAGACAGCTCTGTAAGAAATGGTGTGAATAGGCACAGCTCTTTACCAGATCACACTAATGGGGACAACTCAAACAGGCACATTATACCCATTTCCTATATTGTTTACATACCGAACATAAAATACACTACATATAGTGTAACTCTGTGCATTCCACGTCACTTCAATTACAAGCAGGCCATGACGGGAGACAGTACTGTAAGTGATGAGCAGGGAGCTGCGTCAGTATGAGTAGGCTGCAAAGAAACAGGTAAAGGTTTATTCCATGCAGGTGCCCGAAGAAGGCTCCACAGCCGAAACGTCGAAATTTCTTTTCCATTCAGCATGGAATAAACCTTTATCTGTTCCTTCGCAGTACTGCAAGTGACAGAGATACGGGGGATAACTTTATGATAGAGGGGACAGGGCCAGTAGAGATTCTGCTATGCAGCAAAGTGCCTTCCCAGATTTTGGTAGATAGTGCTGTGAGAGACAGCTATATCAGGGACTGTGCCATAAGAAAATGCTACAGTATATTAGGACCCTGCTATAAGAGAATATGCTATAGTACTACAACACACATACACCAAGAGCTCTGTAAGAAAGTGCTTAGCGATACCTCATGCTACAGGGCACACTGCAAACAGGCACAGCTCCACAGGGACTAGTGCTAAAGAGCAATGCAGAAAAGGGGATAGCTCTATAGTGGACACTGCTACAGCCGAGATGCCGCTGTAACAGCAGGTGGCGCTGCAGAGGACAGGAGTCCGGTGCCGCAGGAGAGCTGGCGCCTGCCCCCCACCTGACACACAGCGGCTTGCATCAGAGCGTCCAGGCCAGCCTCGGGGGGGTCCAGGTTGCCCGAGATGTTCTGGGTGCTGACTTTCTTCTCGAACTCCTTGGCGTTGTCCGTGAGCGGCAGCACGTTGCGGAAGCTGAAGGCCGGCTGGCAGGTGTCCATGCGGGTCGGGCACGGGTTGCGCAGCTTGGACTTCACCGTGCTCACGTAGGGCATCGCCACCTTGTCCACGAAACAGCCGAACCCTGGAAAGACACCGGCGGGGAAGTAAGCCCCCCGCAGTGGGAAGGGAGGGCGAGAGGTGGGGTGTGAAGGCACAGGAGCCCTCCTCGGTGTGATCGCGCTGACCAGAATGGACGAGCGCTGCTGAAGGGTTTTCACCATGCAGTCAGAAGGTATACAAAGACGCTCGAGTAGGTAGGTGCGTCAGCATGCACAGGCTGCAAAGAACAGGTGTGTGCATCTGAAGAAGGCTCCACACACCTTTACCTTTCAGCATGGAATGAACCTTCACCTGTTCCTTTACAAGGCTAGAAGGCATTCACCATCCGATCCTACCTCACAGATCTTTTGCACCTTACATCGGAACATTCCCTACATCAGGAACATGAAAACAGACAGAAAAGAGATTGTGTGGCCATGTGGTCCGTTACGATCACTTGGTCCAGTTTAAGATGGATGACTGGGATTGGCCGGGCTGTCAACAACCCGGAACGTGCCATTGACATCAGCCAATTAAAACCAAACCTGCACGTCCACAGGAGACAAGAGGAAAGTGGAGGACTCGGCAAAAGCCCGACAGACAAGCACCCCAGAGCTGAAAACCCAGGACAATGGGGCTCTTAGGTGAAAATACGCCATGGCCAATGGGGTGCTTTTGCAAAAACAAATCAAAACCTGCTGAGATTGAGGATTAACCTCAAAGACCCTTCTTCTGAGAGAATTTTTATCCAAGGTACTAAGTAGACCAGTAGGTGGCGCTATTACCGCTGGAGGAAAACGTCCAAACCAATGCCCTAGTCTGGTGACTGGGGACACTGTGTTGCAAGGACTGCCATCCTTGGATGAGACAGTAAACTGAGATCCCGACTGCTTGGTCATGGCATCTGCTTATTGTTCATAAGTAGTAGTAATCCCAGCATCTTGTCCGAATTCCACTTTGGGCTAGAATCTGTCATCACTGGGGTCCCCCCTTCAATTCTTCAGGTGCAAGTTTTGAGTCATCCCTCTCTCTACCCACCACCCCTGATCCCCCCGCTGTGCAGTACGGCTGCTGGTGCAGAACAGCTGCTGTGCGTCACCCAGGTGGGTCCATCCATTTCCTTCTTCTCATTCTGGGCCGTGGGGGAGCTGGAGCCTATCCCAGCAAGCAACAGGCCCAAGACAGGGTACACCCTGGACAGGACACCAGTCCACCGCAGGGCACACACAGACATAGACACAGACACACACACTCATACCAGGCCCAACTTTCCCTGAAGCCAAACCACACAGATAGCACCCCGGGTCTAGAACTGAAGCCAGGGTCCTAGTGCAGCTAGACAGCAAAGCTGTGAGAGTAAAAGCAATTACAGGTTCATCACAGCTGTAGAGAGGGATGAAAAGGGGTGGAGCGGAGTGGTGACACTGTGGCTAAGGATCTGCGCCTGTGGTTGGAAGGTTGCCGGTTCAAATCTCGCAGCCGGCAGAGGAATCCTACTCCGTTTGGCCCCTGAGCAAGGCCCTTAGCCCCAACTGCTCCAGGGGC